GTACATACATTACATTTTCGTAAATATATTGCGATGCCAAAGTTAATAAGTTAATTTCTTTAAATTTTTGTCTGAGGGACTCTTTACAATTCTCTTTACAAGAGAGCCGTTCGGGCGATTTATAATAACCTATAAATCGCCCGAACGGCTCTCTTTTGCAAAACAAATATGGCTTCAATATCAGTCGCATTACCCCATAGCAAAATTCCATAAGACATTACGCTATGAAAGTAACAAATATACACTAATCTAGCTGTCTCTACTTCTAATCTTTCTTACAGCATATGCTGCAGAACTAAGTCTGCTTGCTAATTTAGATATATGGGGGCCACATTGAAGTTTCGTGTCATTAGTAATACCGAGATAAACAGTGGTATCCACAAGACTTGACTTAACACCAATGTGCTGTTAAATGGGGAGGCCATTTAACAGCACATTGGTATTCGAATGTTTTACATTAGGTGTTGTAAATTTAATACACTTTGTCTTATTGCCGTTTAAGAACATATTGTTGGAACATTACATTGGTTTAATACCAATGTACTAATTTCGATAGAGCATTACTAACATCGTCATAATTAATTAACTGCCGTTTAAGTTTGAAAATTAAAGAGGTATCGTCAGCAAATAATACTATATCGTGATTGCCCCCTACAAGATAAGGTAAGTCACTATTATAGATTAAAAACAGGAATGGGCCAAGAATCGAGCCCTGAGGAACGCCCATTGACACTACCGATCCGGAAGAACCTTTACCATTAATCACGACTTTTTGAAATCTATTACTTAAATATGAAGTAATAAGTCTAAGCGCAAAATTTTTTACACCGTAATGTTGTGGACTTTTTGAGTTCTGTTACTTAAATATGAAGTAATAAGTTTAAGCGCAAAATTTTTTACACCGTAATGTTGTGTGTGCGTGTGTGCATGTGTGCGCGTGGGTGTGCGTGTGTGTGCGTGTGTGCGTGTATGTGCGTGTGTGCGTGTGTGCATGGGTGTGCGCGTGTCTCTCTGTGTGTGTGTGTGTGTGTGTGTGTGTGCGTGTGTGTGTGCACGTGTGTGCGCGTGTGTGTATGCGCGTGAGTGTGTGCGCACGTGTATGTGCGTGTGCGCGTGCGTGCGTGCGTGTGTGTGCGTGTGTGTGCGAGTGAGTGTGCGTATGCGTGTGCGTCTGCGTGTGCGTGTGCGTGTGCGTGTGCGTGTGCGTGTGCGTGTGCGTGTGCGTGTGCGTGCGTGTGTGCGTGTGCGTGTGCGTGTGCGTGTGCGTGTGCGTGTGCGTGGGCTACTGCGTGTGCGTGTGCGTGTGCGTGTGCGTGTGCGTGTGCGTGTGCGTGTGCGTGTGCGTGTGCGTGTGCGTGTTCGTATGCATGTGCGTGTTCGTGTGCGTGTGCGTGTGAGTGTGCGTGTGCGTGTGCGTGTGCGTGTGCGTGTGCGTGTGCGTGTGCGTGTACGTGTGCGTGTTTGTGTGTGTGCGAGCGTGTGCGAGTGCGCGTGCGTGTGCGTGAGCGTGTGCGTGTGCGTGTGCGTGTGCGTGTGCGTGTGCGTGTGCGTGTGCGTGTGCGTGTGCGTGTGCGTGTGCGTGTGCGTGGGCGTGTGCGTGTGCGTGTGTGCGTGCGTGTGTGTGTGTGTGTGTGTGTGTGTGTGTGTGTGTGTGCGTGCGTGTTCGTGCGAGCGTGCGTGGGTGCGTGCGTGCGTGCTTGCGTGCATGCGTGCGTGCTTGCGTGCGTGCGTGTGCGTGCGTACGTGCGTGAGTGCGTGCGTGCGTGTGTGGGTATGGGTGTGCGTGTGTGTGTGTGCGTGTGTTTTTGCTTTGAACCATTTCACGACACCAATCAAAAACATACACAATAATATTGGCAAAGAGTTCCACTTTCAAAATTTGAACTTATTTTTTTATTATCTCGTTTATAAGTGGCCAGTTCTAAACACTTTCAGTATCGCCGATGGATGGAATACATATAATAAACATATAATAAAGAATAGTTTATCTGTAATATTAAAAACAATTTAGTCTGGAATAAACAAGTCTATATAAACAATACTGAAACGAAATTAGTAATATTTGGAACGTTTGTCTGTTCGACAAAAAAAACCAAAGCATGAAATTTTTGTCTTCAATTTCGAAGCTAAAAATGTCATCCGAATAAGCATTCTGAAATCCGCTTTGAGCATAACCTGCTCCCTTGTCAGTGTTCTATTGTACTCTTAGCTCAAAGCAAGGCATTCCATCCAACTAAACTTTATTAAAATGCTTTGATAAAACTCTCGCTTCTGACATGTAATAAACATTTTAAATGTTTAGCAGCGATAATCTTTTCATTGTTTCTGTTTGCTGCCAAAAGAGATTTTTATGCAGTTCTCGCAAAATAATATTCAGAGAATTTTTCGGAAATACATTGTCACAGTCTGAATTAAGTTTCAGTGATTGTACGAAATGCTTACAAAGCAGAAATTTATTTGAATTATTAACTAACTACAAGCAGATGTAAGGAAAACAAAACAACTTGAAATCATTTATTAATATGTCGCGGCGCTGTCGTCGCGCCACAAGCGAAACATATCGAAGCCTAAATCGCACTAACAAAGTTCCGAAGTTAAAGCAGTGTATATAGAATAGCTCCTAACTGCCACTCGGAGCGTTAGTAGCTCCCCGGGCAGAACACCTTGCCCGGCGGGAGATCTCCCCTTTTCCTGCCATCCGCCACAGTGGTAACCAACCGACGTGATATGAACACGTTACCAACAACCTTCGGAAACTACAACTTCAAAACCTTGGTCATCATCCTCAAATACCCCATTCATTCGCTCCCGAGCTGATATTGTCTGCAGTCTTCACCTTCTGCAAGCCATCTAGCTTAGGTTCATTAACAAAGGTTCATCGCAGCACTGGAATAATAATGCTTCCTGTTTATCAAGCTACTCTCTGCGCTACAGTTTTCGGCACGGCTCTGAGCCTTACTGCTCGCCTTTGCTTCATGGCACTTTCGCAGATTACTTGCCTTCTTCTCGACTCACCGCAGACTTTTCATTTACGTGGTAGAGCCATGCTGCAGCTATATTAGTAGTATAGTTGTAGCACGAATGGGTCGGCTCGACCGGTGAAGGACCACGCTCTCACAGAAAACCCGCGTGAAATAGCAGCTCAACAACGCTGCTGTGTTTCGTATGGTGAGTGTAGAGAACCGGAGACTCCTTTTACTGGAAAAGAGGCATTCCATCTTAGTCCTCACGGGTGACAACGCATCTGTATCTTGAGTCTTTATTGAGGATAGATGTAGATGTCTATGGGTCACAGTAACCACTTACCATCAGGTGGACTGTGTGCTCGTTTGTCACCCTATCCTATAAAAAAATACTACAAGGCAATCACTGGCGCTTGCTCCGGCTCATCGTTCTCACCGGCATCACTTGCTGTGCGTAGTACGGCATGCATTACACACCGGCATATCGTTCGCACCGGCGTCACTTGTCCTTACGCACACAAGGTGCAGTCCCCACCGGCATTAAGGATGTACCGGCAATCGGACTGCACTATTGACCTCCGGTCTGAGCAGGGGGTGATGTTGCGGCGTTGTCGTCGCGCCACAAGCGAAACACATCGAAGCCTAAGTCGCACTAACAAAATTCCGAAGTTAAAGAAGTTCATATAGAATAGCTCCGAACTACCACTATGAGCGTTGGCCGCTCCCTGGGCAGAACATCTTGCCCGTCGTGAGATTTCCCCTTTTCCTTCCACCCGCCACAGATATAATATATAATCATTTATTTCATTTATGACAGCCCATCAAAGTCCACTGCTGAATGCAAGCCTTCTATTGGCTCAGAAAGAATTGCCATAGTTGCCATGCTTGTCAGGAGGATTGGCAACTTTTTATTTTCTACTTGTTATTAGAAATACGCTGCTGACCATTTCCAGGGTTTTCCCCCCTGTCGCCGCTTACGACACCCGTGGCACAAGCGTGTATCTTATATATATATACATGTATATATATAATTCATAGCGGTTTGTAGTATCCCCACATTCAGCTACTGTAATGAATTCTCCATTACAGGAGCAGAAGGAAAGTGAAGATTAACATCATCATTTTTTAGAATAAAAAAAACATCATAGCTAGACAGGGAAAAGGAGTAATCCAGAGCAGGTTCTTTCTCACAAACAGATTTACGTAAGAAACTTCCAGACATCAGCTGGCTAATAAAATACTGTGGTAAGCTATATTATTATGGATATAAAGACGTTTGACGGTGCGTCCTATCTGATTGCACCTATTCATAGCTTTCTTTAAAACGTATCCAATTTTCTTTCGTACGCTCTCTTAAAATGCTGAAAAGCTCGGTTCTGATTTCACAATTCATTAAAATACTTTTTTATTTTTGCTTACAATGCTCTTATTCCCACTACTAGAAAGAAAATAAGTACTTAAGTATAGACTTGAGTACTTATTTTCTTTATAGGAGTCTGTATGGGTAAGTACAAACCTCTATATTTATTTGCTACAGCAGGGCGTGTATTGCTGGGTTTTGGTTTGAAGAATATGGAGAGCCGAAATATATAACAATCCGTGAGGTATTCTATCTTAGTTGTCATAGGTACTATAACACCTGTAGCCTTCCTTTATTAAATTTCATTTCAGGTGTCCAAGTGCTGCAGTAGCCACATGCCATCAAGTGAACTGTGGGTTGTTTTGTCACTTCACGTTTATGTAAAATAACTTGGTTTAGTTATTTTTGTAAAAATATTAATATAAAAAACTTTAAAGATTACATTATTATGTATGTATGCATAGCATAGAGTACAATCTGCCACCACAGTCTATAAATCCATACAGTCGTCCGACGAAGACGTCTAGACGGGGCAATCGTGCGGGGTGTGAGGGGTGAGACGCGGGAAGGACGAGCCCGAGTAGCTCATGCCAATCGTATTAGGAGCTCGGGACACGACTTCCAGGGTTAACACGCGCTTGCTTTGATTATTTTTAGTGTTGATAATTATAATTAAAATGGTTCATACGACGTGTGCAGTGAGAGATTGCAAGTCGTCATCTCGCATAAATAAAGACCTGCGATTTCACCAAATTCCGCACACGGAGGAAAGGTAAATCAATATTGTTATTATTTTTTACATTATGTATATTTTGTCATGTCAAAGTAAAAGAAATGGCGGGTAAAAAAATAGGTAATAGTCGTTGGGCATTACTGATTGATTGATTTTTTTTTCTTCATCTAAATCGTGTGGTTGGGCCGGCTAAGGTTTTATACCATACTATAGTGCCTCGTCTTCGGTCTTTCGAAGTTTTTTTATAAAATATTAAGATTTACGGGTCAATTTTTTGGTTTGTCAGTGTGCTAATTACGAAAATAGCTTTTATTTTTAAATCCAAGATGGCGGTAATTTTTTAATATATGTATGATATGAATGTCAATTTCATGGTTTATTGGGGTGATGATTACGAAAATGCTATCCATTTTTATATCCAAGATGGCGGACATTTTTTTAATAATATGATATGGGTATCAATTTCGAGGTTTCTTGGGGTGCTTATTACGAAATCGGCATCCATTTTCATATCCAAGATGGCGGACATTTTTTTTAATAATATGATATGGGTATCAATTTCGAGGTTTCTTGGGGTGCTTATTACGAAACCGCCACCCATTTTCATATCCAAGATGGCGGATATTTTTTTAATAATATGATATGGGTATCAATTTCGAGGTTTCTTGGGGTGCTTATTACGAAACAGGCATCCATTTTCATATCCAAGATGGCGGACATTTTTTTAATAATATGATATGGGTATCAATTTCGAGGTTTCTTGGGGTGCTTATTACGAAACCGCCACCCATTTTCATATCCAAGATGGCGGACATTTTTTTAATAATATGATATGGGTATCAATTTCGAGGTTTCTTGGGGTGCTTATTACGAAACCGCCACCCATTTTCATATCCAAGATGGCGGACATTTTTTTAATAATATGATATGGGTATCAATTTCGAGGTTTCTTGGGGTGCTTATTACGAAACCGGCACCCATTTTCATATCCAAGATGGCAGACATTTTTTTAATAATATATGGGTATCAATTTCGAGGTTTCTTGGGGTGCTTATTACGAAACCAGCATCCATTTTCATATCCAAGATGGCGGACATTTTTTTTTAATAATATGATATGGGTATCAATTTCGAGGTTTCTTGGGATGCTGATTACAAAAATGGAATTTATTTTTAAATCCAAGATGGTAGACATCATTTCTTTAATGTTAGGGATGTCAATTTTGAGGCTAGTGGGTGATAATTATGAAAATGTATTAATAAGTATTGTATTTAAAAATTTCAGATGCAAATCATGGCTGAAAGTTATTGGAAGACCTAATTTAGTTGGAAGAACTTTCAAAAGCATAAAGAATACGTACATTTGCAGTTTGCATTTCGAAAAGAGTATGTACGGGAAGAAATTACTTAAGAAAACATCTATACCAACGTTATTTTTACCAACCAACGACTCGATCCATACACAGACTGATCCTAAAGTCAAAATTTTAAGTGATGTAATATTGGAACTCTCCGATAAACGCCATGTTTTAATACCAAAAATAGCTCGAAGAGACCATGAATTAGTAGGTTCTTCATCACAAAATTCAGAACACACAAACACTAAGAAATATATAGGTATAGATTTTAGTTCTCAGACACCAGCACGATTGACTGACTTTACTCCCCGAAAAAGTAAACTTAGAAAACAATTGTTTAAAATAAGTAAAAAGTTAAAATGCACTGCTAAAAAATATGAAGATGTTACCGCGGAACAGTTTTTGAACGGTTGTGATAAATTTTTATCCCCCAAGTTAAGCGCGATTGTAAAGGCGCAAATTTATTTAAAACTCCATTGTAAAAACAATAGATATAGCAGAGAATTCAAATTGTTTTGCTTAAATATGTATTACACAAGCCCCCTCGCTTATCGATTTTTATCGAAGACTATTTGTTTACCGTCTAAATCAACTTTAGCTAAGATGTACCTACCTATGCAAACTAAAGTTAACCAGCAAATGTGGGATGTTTTATCAGCTACAATCAAGCATATGTCATCATCTGAAAAAGAATGTGTGCTTTGTATGGATGAGATGAGTCTGAAATTAAACTTATCCTATAACAGCAAGGAAGATAAAATATTGGGCCTCCATGAAGTAGATGGGCAACAGCAACCTGTTGCCGCAGGGTATGCTTTTACCTTAATGCTTCGAGGTATAACATCAAAATGGAAACAACCTATTGGCTTTTCTTTTATCTCCAGCAGTAAAATTGATGATCAATTAAAAACATGGATAATTGCTACTGTGAAACGTCTTTTAGAGCTTGGCTTTAATATACGAGCTTTCGTGTCAGATCTAGGATCAGATTTTTTGGCATTTTCAAAAACATTAGGGATCTCTAAAGAAAGCTCATGTTTTGAGATTGGTGGTCACAACATTTACTACATATTTGATGTTCCACACTTAATGAAGTGTGTGAGAAATAATTTAATAAACTATAATTTTGAGTTTGATGGCAAAACTACTCGGTGGGAGGACATAACAAACATGTATGAACTAGGTAAAATGAAAGATATGCGATCAGCTCCTCGTTTAACTGATTCACATTTACAGCCAAATAGTTTCCAAAAACAAAAAGTTCGTTTTGCCGTTCAAGTATTTAGCAATTCTGTAGTAGCAGCTTTAAAAAATTACCAATCATCGGGTACTCTACAAGTTGATGATGGTACGATATTTTTTATTGAAATCATGAACAGCCTCTTTGATTTACTGAATTCAAGCAATATCGACTCACCAAAAGCCTACAGTAAACCGTATAGGAGTACTACTCTCCAAGAGGAATTGCTAGATAAATCTCAGCGTCTGTTTAATAGCATGAGAGTTAAAAATAAAAAGAATGGCCGTGACGTTACCAATATCATAAAATTTATAAATGCTTTCAACATAACAATAAACTCATTTCGGCAATTATATCAAGATATGAAGTCTGAGGGATATGATTACTTACTCACACGAAGAATTAACAATGATTGCTTAGAAAATTTTTTTGGGCTTGTGAGGCAAGCTGGCGGAAATTGTCGGGAACCCTCTTGTATACAATACACCAGGGCATTCCGAAAAATGTTTCTATGCCAAATTCTAAATTTATCAGACGCTACAAACTGTACCGAAGATTTTGATAGCATACTAGCCCAATTTGTAGAATTCGCCAAAAATACACCTCAAACTCAAGTTTCTATCCAGGATCCACCTCAAACACAACCTAAAGAGAATCTTACAAATATGTACGACATTCCAGAAAAAAATGCATTCCACTATATCTGCGGTTATTTGTTGCGAAGGTGTGTTGAAAGTCACAAGCGTGACTGCCTATCGATAATTAGTTACGCATCATCATATGACGATGAATCAAATGAGAAAAATTTATACATTCGTCTGAGAGCTTATGATACTAGCCGTGATCGCTTCGGAGGACTACAAGTCCCTCCAGATGATTTTGTGGATTACATACATAGCTTGGAAACAGAATTGATGTCGATCTTTACTTTTACTGGAAACATTGGGTTCAAATTGTTTGAGCATTTGAGACTAATAGAATTCAACACCAAACCATGTGCATGCTTCCCAATAAATTATTTGTTAAATTTATTTATTAGGATGAGAATTTTTTATATAATTAAGTTCAATAATAGAAATTTCTCTCTATTATTGAATCTAAAAACCGAAAATATTTGTCAGTTGCTCATTTATAATTCCTGATTTGGAAATTAATTAGTTATAATATCCTTTTTTTTTCTTATCGATTATTTAGTAACAAACCAGGTGTCCATATAGTTATAGTAGTAGTAAATATTTAAAAAATCAAAAATGCACGCCTCATGAGCATTTCTTTTAATTTTAATGAAAAAATAAATAACTTTTAAAAAGTGTTCAGTTAAATAGCAAAAATCAATAAGAACCCTCCTTAGAATGTATGGAATCTTATTTAATACTATATATCTCAATCTATTGCTTACATTTCTATTAAGCGAGAAGACGCACAGACAAACGGACGTCAGTCCATATATTTTTTCAATTCCAGTTTTTGTTATGTAATCTAAAGTGAATCAATTATAAAATAAACCAATAATTCAATGTCTGTAGTCATTGTAACGTTAATAATAATATGCATTTAATGTCTAGCTAAGAGTATGAACGATTTTATGTAGCGAAACTGAGGTATGGCCACATATCGAGTGAGTAAAAAGGTTATATATATATATTGTGTATAGTATAGTCTGCTTATCGACAGATGGCATTGTTTGATTTATGTTCGCGCTATTAAATGTATTACTACCGTTGTACTTAGTTAGCTGCTTATGTATGTCAATTGAGTTTAAAATTCGAGTGAATATACGAGTTGTGTTTACGTGAGCGTGTATCATTTCTAACATTGGTGCCGAAACCCGGGAAAAGAGAAGAAGAACCAAAGTGAACTGTGAAGTGCTAATAAGTGGTGAGAATAGTGCAAAGTAAACGAAATTGGACTTTAAAACCGTGAGTAAATAAACTTGTTAGATATCAGTGAATTAAAAGACAATCTTAGGAAAATACTTGGACTTGTAAAAATTTCGTGAGTACGTTCTGTGGACTTAGAAAAAACTAGTGTTATTTTAGACTTGTAAAAATTTCGTGATTTTATTCTATACACTTAGAAAATTCTCAGAGCCAGTGTGGACTTGTGAAAATTTTGTGATTTGTTACTATAGACTTAGAAAGTTTTACATATTATGGACTTGTAAAATTTTAAATGTGTTATATGAACTTGTATTAAATTTTAAATGTCATATTTATTTTGAACCGTTTATTGAGTTGAACTTCAGGATTGTTATAAATTACTAATTCGAGAGACTTTTAAAGGAAATTTACTCTAAATTTAATAAAATAAAATGGAGAGATTAATCAAAGGGCAACAAGAATTGTTTGAACAATTAAGAAAAGCCGAGCGCAATCTTAAGAAGGCGAACCATGAGGTTCGGGCAAAATCTAGTTATCTGATAGCAAGAATGGAAGCGTTAAACAAGTTGGAAGAAGCTTTCAACCAGAATCATCTTGAAATAGTTGCCATAGCAACGGAGGAGCAAATGGAAACGTTACAATATTTTCAAGATGACTTACAGGATAGCTTTCAAGAATCTTTTATACAATACAAAGCTTTGTTAAAGGAATATCTAGATTATACCGATCAAAACACGACTATACATGCGATAGACGCAAATGAGAATGCATCAAACAAAAATCAAGGAAACTCTGAGGTGCAATTACCTAGAATTCAACTTCCTATTTTCTCAGGAAAATACACCGAGTGGCAATCTTTTTATGATATGTTTGTCTCATTAATACACGAAAATTATACACTATCAGCTGTTCAGAAATTGCATTACTTAAAATCGAGTTTGTCTGGAGAACCTGAAGTGCTTCTGAGGAATTTTGCTACTACATCAGCTAATTACAAAGAAGCATGGGAGCAATTAACTAAACGTTATAATAACAAAAGGTATAACTGCAATGCTATAATGAAGACATTATTTGGACAAAAGAATATACAACACGAATCTGCGAATTCCATTAGACATTTGTTAGACACAACAACTTCTTGCCTAAAGGCTCTTAATAATCTCAATATTGGTACGGAACAATGGGATGCAGTTATAATTCATTTGGTAGTGTCAAAGTTGGATCATGAGTCACACCGACAGTGGGAAAATTATATAAGTACCGCATCAGATGAATTACCTAAATGGTCTCAGTTAGAACAATTTTTGGAAACGAGATTTAGAACTTTGGAGATGATCGATACAAGTAAGCAAACTACAAGCAATAAGATGACCATACAATCAAAAGGTTTAAATCAAGCGGTAAAAGCTAAGGCATTTCATTCAGCTTTGAATGTAAAACAGAGTTCATCTGAACAGAATTGCGCGATGTGTAATGGTTCACATTTTATTTATTACTGAAGAAAGAACTGGTAGCTTTTTAAATTGAATACCAATTTAAAAAGCTACCAGTTCTTGAGAGACAAAATATTGCACAAACTAAAAGGCTTTGTTTCAACTGTCTAGCACCTACGCATCCTGTATACAAATGTCATCAAAATAATTCTTGCCGCAAGTGTGGTAAAAAACATCACACTTTGCTTCATTTTGAGAAAGGGGATAAAGAAGCTTTTAACATATTAAAACAAAATGATTCATCTAAAGGAGAACCTCAACAATGTAATAGTGAAGAAACTTCTACAATGAACGAGAGGAACGTAGTAGCTAATTTTTCGAGACAAGATTTAAAAAATTATAATGTATTGTTAGCGACTGCTGTTGTAAAATCTAATTCTAGAAATGGTTCTTATGTGATTAGAGCGTTGCTTGATCAAGGCTCGCAAGCTTCTTTTGTTAGTGAAGATACTGTACAATTATTAGGTCTTAAGCGTACAAATGTAAATGGTAAGGTGTCAGGTTTGGGAGATGGTCAAATGGTGATTAAACATGCAGTTAGTATTGAAGTCGAGTCGCGTCACGTCCCTGGGAAAGTTATATGCGTCAATGCGTATGTATTAAAATCACTTACTTCATTATTACCAGGTCATGAAGTACGTATACCTGATTGGCTAGAATTAAAAACTTTACCTCTTGCCGATCCAGGATTTGCATCACCGGGAAAGGTTGACATATTACTCGGTGCTGACGTATACGGAGAAATATTGCTAAGTGGAATTAAGAAGAGTCCATATGGAAATCTAATAGCACAAAACACGTTGTTTGGGTGGATTTTGTCAGGTAAAGTAACACCCGAGTTGAATAGCGAGAATATTATTACTTTACATGTTCAAATAAGAGAGGATGAGCTACTGAAAAAATTTTGGGAAATGGAGAACGAGCCTAATAGTATCGAGAAAAAATAAACAGCAGAGGAAAAATATTGTGAAAAGTTATACAAAGAAACTACTTTAAGGCGTGAAGACGGTAAATTTATAGTAAGATTACCTTTTAAAACAGTTGACCCGCAGTGTCAACATGGTCAGTCATTTGATATTGCTGTTAACAAATTATATTCATTAGAGCGAAGATTGTGTAAAAACCCTACACTTTATAACGAGTATATTAACGTTTTACAGGAATATGTAACGTTGGGCCATATGAAGGCAGTTAATCGTGATGATGTTAACAATCCTAAAGCCGTGTATCTTCCTCACCATGCAGTTGTGAGAGAAGATAAAGAGACAACGAAGGTTAGAGTCGTCTTCAATGCTTCTAGTAAGGGTGTAAATAACGTGTCTCTTAATGATGATTTACTTGTTGGTCCTAAACTCCAACAAGACTTACGACACTTGTTACTACGATGGCGAAAACATCCGATTGGTATTGTTGCCGACCTAGTGAAAATGTATCGGCAGGTATATGTGCACGAAGACGACACTAACTTTCAGAGGATATTATGGAGAACTAAACCTGAGTTACCAGTTCAGCACTATAAACTGCTAACATTAACCTTTGGCACTGCATGTGCACCTTATCTTGCAGTAAAAACCTTACAAACATTAGCAGAATTAGAAAAAGACAAATATCTGTTGGCAGCTCAGATAACACTAAGAGATTACTATGTTGACGATTTAATGACAGGTTGCGAAACTGAGAAAGAAGCACTACACATTTACGAAGAAATGTGTAAGCTGATGGGAGCTGGTGGATTTGAACTGCAAAAGTGGAGTAGCAATAGCCAATTATTTCTAAATCACATTAAGAAAAATAATTTGAACACCGAAAATTCCGTAACAATTAAGGTTGATAATATAATGAAAGTGTTAGGTATTTGCTGGAACAGATGCACAGATAATTTTGAGTACGTAATAAATTTAACTGACCCAGAAGAATATGTAACAAAACGGAAAGTTTTATCGGATGTTGCCAGGCTCTATGATCCTATAGGATGGATTGCCCCAGTAATAATTACTGCTAAGATTTTCATCCAGAAATTATGGAAAGCATGCCTTGACTGGGATGAGAAATTGCCTGAAAACCTTTTGTTTGAGTGGTTAACCTTTAGATATGAGTTAGCAAACATCAAAAACATTTCTATACCACGGTGGCTTGGTTCAAAAAAGGGGTCTAAATTAGAACTTCACGCATTCTCAGATGCATCAAGTGTAGCCTATGCAGCTGCAATTTATCTCAGAGTGGTGGACGATAATAATGAAGTACACGTGAAGCTTATTACTGCCAAGACTAAGGTTGCACCAATAGAAAAGGAGGTGACCATACCCCGCTTGGAACTTTGTGAAGCAACTCTAGCTGCCAAATTATTAAACGAGGTTTCGCAAGTAATGGACATACCTAAAGTAGACTTATATGCGTGGACAGACTCAACTGTAGTATTGGCTTGGCTACGTGGACCTGTTAGTCGATTGACTACTTATGTAAGTAACAGGGTGTCCCACATTCTCACAATTATGGATGTTGAACAGTGGGGACATGTATCAACTAACTTTAATGCCGCTGACTGTGCGTCAAGGGGACTAAAACCGACAGAATTAAAGAGTCACGAATTGTGGTGGTACGGTCCTGGTTGGCTATCAAAACAAATCGTTCGTATTGAAAGACCTGAGTTGTTGGACATTCATGAAGAAGAACGAATAAAATCGTTTGTTGTTGAAGAAAGGCGATGTAATGATTATGAGTGGATGAAATTTTCAAACTTAACTAAGCTATTGAAAGTTATTTCGTTATGTCGCAGATTTCTGAAAATAAAGTTGCCGCCACATGAAAGGAAAGCATTTCCAAAATTTGCTACAACTGACGAGATGAATCAAACACAGCAACTTTGCATTAAACAAGTTCAAGAATGTGAATTCGCGGAAGAAATAAATTCTTTGACATTAAAAGTTTGTGTAGCAAATCGTAGCGTGTTACGCACTCTTTATCCCTTTTTAGACAAAAATGGGATCTTAAGAGTAGGTGGGCGCCTAAGTCAAGCTAATGTAAGTTATGATCAAAAGAATCCAATAATTTTGCCTGCTGAGAATCATCTTAGCCTGTTAATAGTTGCTGATGCTCATACAAAGACTCTTCATGGTGGTCCACAACTGATGATGAGTTTTTTGAGATCCAAATATTGGATATTGAGAGCACGTAATATGGTTAAAAAGTATTACAGAAGTTGTGTCGTATGTTTAAGGTACTCTAAAGCAGCGGCTACACAATTAATGGGTCAATTGCCGGAGGTTAGGTTAAAACCGAGCAGACCTTTCAAAAGTTCAGGAGTGGATTATGCAGGTCCAATTAATATCCGATTCTCTCCAGGCCGTGGATCAAAATCCTACAAGGGATACATTTGTTTATTTGTTTGTATGGTAACTCGCGCGATCCATTTAGAAGCGGTATCTGATTTAACAGCCAAAGGCTTTATTGCTGCATTTAGAAGGTTTGTTGCATGTAGAGGTCATTGCCAAAATCTTTTTAGTGATAACGGCACGAACTTTGTGGGAGCTAACAAAATGTTGTGTAAAATGTTTGATAATGCTAAATCTGAACTACATAATGAAATAGCTGAATTATTAACTTTGGAGTCAACAAAGTGGCATTTTATACCACCAAACGCACCTAATTTTGGAGGAATATGGGAGGCGGGTGTACGATGTGCTAAAGCTCATTTGAAACGAGTTGTAGGGGACAATATCTTAACATTTGAAGAGATTTCTACTATGCTGACGCAAATCGAGGCCTGTTTAAATTCGCGACCATTGAGCATTCTTAGTGACAATCCAAATGACCCTCTCCCATTAACACCTGGTCATTTTTTTAATAGGGGAGCCATTGTTAAATATTAACGATGTAGATTACTCTGATCAAAATGTGAGGGGCTTAGATAGGTGGAAAATTATTCAAAAAATGGTTAATTCATTTTGGAAAAGGTGGTCTAAAGAATTTTTAAGTAATTTAAATCAGAGAAATAAGTGGTGTACTAAAAAACCTGATATTGATATTAGAGATGTAGTGGTGATAAGAGATGATAATATACCACCTGCCAAATGGATTTTAGGTAAAGTAATAAAAAAACATGCCGGACCTGATAATGTGACTCGAGTCGTTAGTGTTAAATGTAAGGGAGGGTATTTAAAACGCCCTGTTAGTAAGCTTTGTGTGTTGACTAAGTCATAAAGATTCAAATCCCACTGTTACGGTGGGCGGCTTGTTTCTTTAGTTGTTAAGTATTTGTTAGGAGTATGTGGATTTTTTTTTGAAGGACAAGTCCTTGGTGGGCGGAATGAGTAAAAAGGTTATATATATATATATATATATATATATATTGTGTATAGTATAGTCTGCTTATCGACAGATGGCATTGTTTGATTTATGTTCGCGCTATTAAATGTATTACTACCGTTGTACTTAGTTAGCTGCTTATGTATGTCAATTGAGTTTAAAATTCGAGTGAATATACGAGTTGTGTTTACGTGAGCGTGTATCATTTCTAACATCGAGAGTAGAGCACTCCCTCACGTTGTGAGGCGTGCAATTAGCGTTTTGAGTACTTTCAGGAAAAATATTGGAACAAATTATTACTTATTCTTTATTTTAGTAATCATATTGTTGATCACGATGTAGATCTAAAATAAATAACTAAATTAGCAAAAGTTGTTAATTTGTGACAACCCTGACCTCATTACGCTGTCTAGACGTTGTCGGCATTTACCACGAGATCAAAGGCGTCGTCCTACTGTATGTTTATTTTATACTGTGCTGCCACTGTGCCTTGCGTATGTGTGTGTAAATTTGCGTATGTGTATGTGTAAATTTGGGTGGTGCTTCAGGCCCTTCAGCGGTGCCAAGTTGTCTGTCGATATATCGAAGAGATGAAGTGTTTGTATAGTAGGGCTAAGTTGGGTATCCGAGTACAGAACCAGAGTACGAATCTTATCCAACCGCCGGGAGGTGTAAGATACGGTAACGTTATATCTCCGAAACTCTTCACCGCTGCATTGGAAGACGTTTTCAAGCTTGCAACTACATCCCCCAACTTCGATTTGACGGCTCCGTGGCGCAATGACTTAGCAATGAGTTGCTGCGCTGGGGGGCGCGGGTTTGAATCCCGCACGGAACAAGTGTTTGTATGGCTTACAAATAATTGTTCCGGGTCTGAATGTTTGTCCTTGTGCAATTTGTGTTTGTAAACTGCCTCCACGATACAGAAGAAAATCCTAGGGGGGGTAACGATTTTAAAAAAAAAAAATTTGCCGACGGTATAAGCTTCATTCAGATCTACCAGCACGTCGCGTGCCCAGCACGTAACGTGGCAGACACCGCACAAACAACAGTTTTCACATCTCACGCACCCGGCTTGAACACACGTCATCAGGTAAACTATAAAGTGCACGTGCTTACAAGATTTTTCATAAATAAAATTCTTCTTACATGAAACTTGAAGGTTTTCTGCTACTTCTTTTCATGCGTTATCTTTTTTTTTGGTTGTCATTGTACCTGCGATCATACATATCATACCTAAACGTCCCCGCAGACACGCACCAGCACAGACAAAACAGTCTTGTTGAGAATGCTGGCCAGTGCCGGCCCGTGTCTGCGCGGACACGTTCCGCTTGCGTGCGCTATATGTGAATATATCTATATCTAGTGTATAAAAGAATATTATTTTGTCTGCCACGCCACGTGTCTGGCACGCTCAATGTCTGTAGATCTGAATGAAGCTATAGATTTTATGGCAGAATCGCTGGAGGACCTAAGCACTATGCTCAATTACCTCAATAGTGCCTCCCAACGGATAGGTCGAAGGTGAAAATGGACAAAACAAAGATCATGTGTAATGTCCATGTCACACCTATTCTGGTGGTTGTAGGGAGCACTAAGCTTGATGTTGTTGACGAGTATGTTTACCTGGGACAAATAGTACGACTAGGTAAGTCCAACTTCGACCGAGAGGTCAATCGATGGATTCAACTCGGCTAGGCAGCGTTCAGGAAATTAAGACATATCTTCTCGTCAGGTATAATACCTCAAAACCTGAAAACGAAATTGTACAACCAGTGCGTGTTGCCAGTGATTACTTATGGATCTGAGATATGGTCCTTCACTGCTGGCTGTATGAGGACGCTCAAGGTCACTCAACGAGCTATGGAGAAGGCTATGCTCGGGGTTTCTTTGTGAGATAAACTTAAAAATGAGGATATATATAGAGCCAGAGTGACCGACATAGCCCAACGGATAATAAGCTGATGTGGCAATTAGCCAGCCATATAACTTCCCATAGATATATCCCATAGAGCCATATGGTTCTCGAGAGGCAGCCTCGTACCGGTAGGTGAAGTGTAGGGTGACCCCCCATTAGATGGAGTGACGACCTAGTAATACATGCAGGAAGTCAATGGTGCAGGTGGCTCACGACTGTGCTTTGTGGCATTCCTTGGGTGAGGCCAGTGTTCAGCAGTGGAATTGTGAAGGGCTGTAGTGACGACGATGATGATGATTTAGAATAAAATAGCCCAACACTCGAAAACCGACGACCGGTGGGTAAAAAAGTTTTCGAGTGGCAACCTCGTATCAGTAATGAAGTATTAGGATTACCAGACAAGACATGCAGGAATTCGATGGATGCAGATAGATCAGAATCGTGCTAAGTAGCATTCCTTGGGGAAGGCCTATGTTAAGTAGTAAACTTATGAAGTGCTGTAATGTTATTGATGATGAAGAATAAAATTATTTAAAATAAAAGTCGATTCGAATTCTAACAATGTTTATCACTTTATTGTATTAAAATTAAACGATACCAAAACAGAACGTTATTTTAAAACATATATTACATATCAAGTCTTTTTCTCTTCTTGCACATTGGTTCTTGATCCTTATCACCGCCGACCCATAAATCTTTGAACGTTAAAGGTTGAAAAGGATAACCATCGCCATCATAGAATTTGCTCATAAATTCCACCCTTTACAAATACGAATATTAATTTTTGCTTGTAAACTTAAAAAAATATCAGCATCAAACGAATATTTTGATAACCCTTTTAATGTTAAACGTATTCGGAATTCATTTATCTTACAAAGAGGCTCTGAGTAAATACAAATTTTAAATATTTTGCTAAAATTCTTAATCAATATATCTATGCTGATTTTATAATTAACATAATAATTATGCAACTATATAAAATTCTGAGAGTATATACCGTGTAGAGGCGGTGTAAGAATACCCACTACCCCATATCATCCCGAAGGTGTCATATGAATCAACGGAGGAAAATTGTCGATAGGCAGTAGCTGATAACAACTCAAAATAATAAAAAACTGCGGTTACCAACCCGCCTGCCAAGTTTGGCAGCTATGGTAAAATCCCTCCTAAGAGCCATACTATGGGAGAGGCCTACGTTCATCATTGGACTCTTATAGGCTGTTATGGATGTAATGGAATATATACAGAAAGTTATTGTGCTTGCAGATTTAAATAAAAAAATAAATAAGAAGTTAAACTGTGATTCCAAAATTATTGTCATGATGGACAATTTCCATAAACAATTCTGAACACTGCAACTTTTTACGAGTGTTATATGGACAAACGTAAGGGAGGGTTATATGTAACAGTTTTAAGGTCGGAAGTAGATTTCGATGTAGTGCCAGAGGCACTGGCGATCTGCCTTTCATCATACATGTATACAAAGTAGATAATAATTTGTATTGCTCAGATACCTACTGGTTTCGACTGGAATTTTAAAGCAGAACCTAAATAAAAAGAAAATAACTATTATTTATTGGCTTGCAAATTTGTTTTATTTCTTTGTCTAGGTGTACTTTAATATTTTTATATATGGCTGTGTTGTTGATGTATTTGGATTAACTAAATAAAATTAAATACAAAAAATAAGACTACACACAATTTATGTTAGTTTGGGTTTAATATGGGAATGAAAGTCAGTATTGAGACGAGGTGCGCTATTTTTATTAATTTAACGAAAACAAGTACCTCGTTAGAAAATAAAACTCCTTGTATAATATCTTGAATATAATCATTATTCTCATTGCTGTATTTTTCTGGCAATCACAACTGTAGTTTGTATATTAGCACTAACCTCTACACATCACAATTGTTTAAAAAATTTCAGTGTAGGTATAGTGTTAGCCAGTTAATTATGAAAGGCAACTGGTTTAGTTAATAATATTTCGTTCGAATAAATATTAAAAAAGACATTACACCAAACACACAATATTACAATCGATCTGATCATGTATAACAAAACGGATGTTGTCAAAATGTAATTTTTAGATTAAGTTTTGTTTAATTTCTACACGTTAACTATGCTAAATTACACATCAGGTAACTTCAATCATGTTACGTTTAGCAAGTAAAGATTAGTACGTTTATGATTCAATCAGTTTATATTATTTCATTATATTACATGATTTTAAGCAAGAGAAGCATATCACTTTACTTTCGGTTTTTTTCCTGCTGTGAAATTTAATAGCTATAACACACATTCCCAGTGAATAACTTTGAAATATAATTAAAAAGGTAATAATGATAAAGAAAATTCTGGAAATAATATAGGCTTTAATTATTCTCACCGTGTAGTCCGCAACTACAAAGAATATTCATTACCCCATATCATTCCGTGGGTGCCGTAAGTTGCGACAGAGGGAAGCAAATCAAGAGATGGACAGCAGCGTCTTCCTCATAACGGCTAAAAGTAAAAAGCTGCGGTGCCAACCCGCTTGTCAAGCGTTGCCAATAAGACAAATATCCCCCTATGATACAATCTATGGGGGATGCTTATATTCAGCAAAACTTTAATAGGCTGTAACAGCTGTCGGAGAGCTGGCGACGAATTTTGAGAAGGTCCTTTTGGCAAGTTGAAATTGTGAACTGGGAATTGCTAAAACCACTGAATTTTTCTGGCGATTTGCAGGTATTATGAAAATTACTCAATAAATACGTGATGACCATTTGAGATTGCCAAAATTATATTATTTGGGAATTTTAATAAAATATTCTTGATATCGAATATCGGGTAATACTTTATAACCCACAAAGACGTCTGGGATTTTTTCCAATTATATAAAAACTAAATTAAAAGATAAGAAAGTAGTCGAGTTACCAAAACAACATTACTTTTGGATATTTGTTTTGCAAACATTATATGCTGCGCAGTAACGAAATAGCCGAAAACGCTCTGCCCGACTCGTGGGACTGGATTCGCCAATTGTTGAAATTATATTTTTTCACAATTTCAACTTGCCAAAAGAACCTTCCCAAAATTCGTCGCCAGCTCTTGGACTTGAGGAAGTGAAGTAACTTTTACTTATGTGATTTCATTAAAACTTTTAAAACTATCAAATGCAAAAGCGAATCAAGTTTGATCTCCTCCAGTATCGCTAAACAATAACCAGCAAATAAGTGCTGATTTTCGTCTATAAATTATATTATGTCTAAGGGCTCAGTTATGAGGGTTCGGCGTGCACAACAAACAGAATATCATTACACACATATTGTCATTAACATATTACACATTTACATACAATGACCTATACACACATGCTTTTATACAAAGTTTCCAAATTATGTATACAAACTTACCAATGTAGACGCAATGTATGAAGAAAAGCTGACAGTCCTTCCATCACAACCAGTATAGAAACCGTGAAAATGGCCCAAATTGAAAACACGACAAATATCTTCAAAGGACCAAATGGAGTTCGATCCTTAAGCGCTAATTTTGACATTATCATATGCCATAACATTTCTGACAGCTCTGAAAGCAAGCATAAAAATGGGTATTGCACAAATAAGTATACTTAACAAGTTTTAATAAGTATACATTTGGATCGGTTAGGATTAAAGGGACTATTTGTATGCTCTTTGGAATATTAAATTGATGGTAATAATAATGATGATGATGATGATAATGTATTATTGTGAAAGATTTTCTTCTCCTTTATCAGTCTGTTGTTGGTCTCAATTGTCAGGCTTGGCAGGCGATGATTGTTCCGGAATATACCTTTGACTCAATTTTTCATCTGACGTAATATTTATATTTATACCGTTAGGTATCATAATTTCATATTATAGGGTTCATAGTAAGTTTTGAGAAGATTTGTTAGTCGTAAAAAACACAATTTTAATTGAGTGTATAGTACTTACGTTGATGTGCTAACGATAACGCCCACAGACGTAGATATGACGCAGTGTGTGATACAGTGCTTAGAACAAACTCAATACTACGTATCGCCTGATGGATCATTAATTCCCCGAAAGAAATGGAATATTTAGCAACTTCGGCCAGCAATAAATCCTCTGCCTTTTTATCGGAATCTCTTCGTTGATACCTCCTAAACTGACTTATTTTAGCCTGTAGGGATGAAAATTAGAGCGGTCATAGCAATAACGAAAAAGCGGCATGGTAGTACTGCTATGAAGCGGTAATTCGATTCCAAAAACATACGGGGCAATAATTTGTATAAAAATACATCCATAATAATGTTATCAAAAACTATGGAGTATAATTTCGTGTGGTAGGTGGCATCAAAAAAATCTATCATTCCGTTACGAACCGCGGGCGATGTAATAAATTAATATAAGATCTGTTTGGGACCATGTTACACATATATTCAACAGTTGTGACAGATGTGAAAAATGAGATTAAATTAATAGATCCCTACATTTATTTACATAGTAATATGTAACCGACATTACGTCAAAACATCTTACGACATTAAAAGTATTAAATTGATTTAATGTTTCATCTATATACATATTATATATAAGCGAAATACCACTGACTGACTGACTCATTACGATATCTCTAAAACTATTCACCCGATTGACTTGAAATTTAGTATAGTTACTCATTTCGCAATTTAGAAGCTCACTAAGAATATATTATACGATAATCCCATTAAAAAAATTCTAGATATTTTATTACTACGTTATTATCGTCTATTTTCGTGCGACCAGCGAAGCGAATGGGTATCAGCTACGAGTTTGGACGCATACTTTAAAAGATAAAGAAAAACTAAAATAATTCAACACTTGGCTTATCGCGCGAACGACGCATAAACATTAGCCACCTGATGACAACCGAGAGCTCTTAGTACTTAATTTTATCGAAGCTTCAAGTGCTACGAATATCAATCCATGCCTACAAGCAACTCTCAACAGATTATGTAAATATCTACACAAAATTAACTAAAATACTATAAGCTGTTGATGTCTCAAAACACTCAGCTCTTTTTAATTCGATTAACATATGAAATAATTACCATTGCTTTATCCTTCTCCTTTTTATTAATTGTGTACACGTATAAAGGAGTCCCAAAAAACAAGATAGGCACACAGAGAAGGGCAATAAACAGAAGTGCCTTCTGCACGGTCTGTTGGCCCGGAAACATATATGCATCGCAGTCGCTTCCAACAGGCTTAGAAGTGGAAAGCAACATCATGTCGATGAAGATAATTAAGATAAGGGGAGCACAGCCGGAACTTCTTTTGATGTTAGCTGTTAGAAAACAATTTCAGCGTAAATATATTAATTTTCATTTTGTTGTAATTTATAAATATTGTAAAACCGTCTTTTCTAAAATATTGTTTTATGTCGAATGTCGAATGAGAGAATTCATACAGATTTTATCTCTAAATGACGTAACAATAGCAATAATATTAAAAGCTCCTCTTTCATCTCATGATCATGATCAATAGCTTCAAACCCATTTCAGAAATTGTTATCGAGAGAAATAACTAAACTTTTTAAATTTGACCAATTGTTTGATTAGACATTTATTACTATAAATCTAAAAAAATATGATAATAAAGCACACCACTGCCAATTTTAATCCAGACGACAATTAACTGACATTGAAGTTCAAACACTGCTATTCACTCTTTTATAACCTAATGAAGCTCAGAATACATGATCTCACGTACAAATAATACACAACGGACCTGAAAACTTTCAATTTCTCTGTTTGCATTGACTGGAATTTAACGTCTGGACGAGTAATGTCGATACTCTGGCCATTAGACTAAACGGTGCTCATTATAAATACATTAACATAGTCATCAGCCATCACGGTCTACTGCTGGGTAACAGTATAAACGTGCATGTACAAAGTACACGATTTAAAAAAAATCATAGCCGTTAAAAAACGAGTCTCACCAGTTTTACTGCTAAACATAAACCATTTCATGTAAATTAAAATAACCAACCACAGAAATAGGCAGCATAAAAACAATATTTGTGGAATAAATTGAAGGAAAATAGCGTGTGTGCGACGAAAATAACTGTAACAACAGAAATAATACTTTATATCGCGTTTTTAAAATGTATGAGTAAAATATAAAAAACATACTTACATATGATTTAACAAACTCAAAGATAGTCCAAATATCATGTGTATTATACCAATAATTATAGAAAGTTTCATTTTCATGGAATTCTGAGTCATAATCTTGTTGGTAGCGAACTATTAAAAGAATGTAGAGCATAAATGAAATAAGAAAATTTTAACAAATTACTAATAAAAGAAACAATATAAAAGAAGAACATTCATTGAAAATAACACAGGTGTCCGATCCAAGAGCGAGTCTTATCCGACATTATTCCGATGATATCCCGGACGTCAGTCTGAGCGAGATTAGAATGGCTCTCCAGCACCTTAAAAACGGCAAGGCCCCAGGCCAGGATGGAATTACAGCGGAGCTTCTGAAAGCGGGTGGAAAACCGGTACTTGAAGTCCTTCAGAAGCTCTTTAATTCCGTCCTCCATGGTGGCATTACACCGGAGGCGTGGAGCAGAAGTGCGGTGGTCTTGTTCTTCAAGAAAGGCGACAACGCTCTCTTGAAGAACTACAGACCGATTTCCCTTCTGAGCCGCGTCTACGTGCTGTTTTCGAGAGTCATTACGAATCGTCTCGCGCGCAGACTTGACGACTTCCAGCCTCCCGAACAAGCCGGTTTCCGAAAAGGCTTTAGCACCATAGACCACATACATACCCTTCGGCAAATTGTACAGAAGTCCGAGGAGTACAATTTGCCACTATGTCTGGCGTATGTGGACTATGAGAAAGCCTTTGATTCCGTCGAAATTTGGGCGGTGCTGCAGTCCCTTCAGCGATGCCAAGTTGACTGTCGGTATATCGAAGTGTTGAAGTGCTTGTACAGTAGGGCTACGATGGCTATCCGAGTACAGAACCAGAGTACGAAACCTATCCAATTGCAGAGAGGTGTAAGACAGGGTGACGTCATATCCCCGAAACTCTTCACCGCTGCATTGGAAGACGTTTTCAAGCTTCTGGACTGGAAAGGATACGGTATCAACATCAATGGCGAGTACATCACTCACCTTCGATTTGCCGACGATATAGTCCTTATGGCAGAATCGCTGGAGAACCTAAGCACTATGCTCAATGACCTCAATAGTGTTTCCCAACGGATAGGTCTTAAGATGAACATGGACAAAACAAAGATCATGTTTAATGTCCATGTCACACCTATGCCGGTAGTTGTTGGGAACACTAAGCTCGAAGTTGTTGACGAGTATGTTTACCTGGGACAAATAGTCCGACTAGGTAAGTCCAACTTCGACCGAGAGGTCAATCGACGGATTCAACTCGGTTGGGCAGCGTTCGGGAAATTACGGCACATCTTCTCGTCAGGTATACCTCAAAACTTGAAAACGAGACTGTACACCCAGTGCGTGTTGCCAGTGATGACATACGGAACTGAGACGTGGTCCTTCACTGCTGGCCGGATGAGGAAGCTCAAGGTCGCTCAGCGAGCTATGGAGAGGGCTATGCTCGGAGTTTCTCTGCGTGATAAACTCAGAAATGAGGATATCCGCAGTAGAACCAGAGTGACCGACATAGCCCAACGGATTAGTAAGCTGAAGTGGCAATGGGCCGGCCATATGGCTCGAAGAACCGACAACCGATGGGGAAGAAAGGTTCTCGAGTGGCAGCCTCGTACCGGCAGGCGAAGTGTAGGGCGTCCCCCCACTAGATGGAGTGACGACCTGGTAAGATTTGCAGGAAGTCGATGGATGCAGGTGGCTCAGGACCGTGCTTTGTGGCATTCTTTGGGGGAGGCCTATGTTCAGCAGTGGACTTGTGAAGGGCTGTAATGATGATGATGATGATGAACACAGGTGTCTATATTTCTTTAGAGTAGTAAGGCTCTTTTTTTAAATATAACCCTTATCAGTAACAATACATTTTCTGTGGTGTTGCAGATTCCTGGACAGAATATTGTATATAATTTCACGATAGCTGGCATTCCATCTTTATTCCCCTTAATTGCAAGCACCTGCTTAATACCATCACAGTATTAATGTACACTAGTACCATGAATGTTTCTGGTCTCCACGGTTAACTGTAGAAACATAACTTTAGTTATCTTTTTACTAATTAGTAAAACTAAATTTCTGCCTAGGAGGTTGTCTAGGTAGGTACCATCCTTCTACATATTTGTCGCCGCCAATCAGAAGTGCAGCAGCAGTATAGAGTCAGTTTGATTACAGGCGGTGAGGCAATCCATCTTGGTCCGCAGAGGTGACAACTCATCTGTAGCCTTTTTTAGTTGATGTCATTTTCAGGCGTTCGTGAGCTGTGTCATTTACTATCAGGTTTGCTGTAAATTATTTTTTAACTTTAATTTAATATAATAAATTTAAATAACCTCATAAGTCTGAAAATTTTACCCAATACATATACCAGCATTACAGGTTTTCACGTATTCTAAGGGCTTCAAATACAGTGCAATAAAAATTATATTCACCTCCCAAATAGGATCCACGCCTAAAACATAAGGTCTGTTTGTTTCCAAAGAAGGATTTAGTTCAAGAAATTTTTGATTCATGATTTCTGTGACACTGTACGTATTTTTCCAGTATGACTTCGCTAAATATATTGGTTTGGCAAATATATCGTTATACAGAAAACCGCAGTACATCGAAAATAAACCCATCAAGAGGATAACGTAGCGCCCTGTCGAAATGAAAACCTTTTTAATTCCTACTTTTTATCCTAAAAAATAACAAGCTAATCAACTCCCCAATTTTATCGTCCCTTGGGTGACGTAAGAAGCGTTAGAGGAACACTTTTCGAAAAACAGTGTTGTAATATATGGCAAATATCCTTCTTAGGAAGCTATCTATGTGATATATGGGACTATGATCAGTGGTAGACTTTTAATAGGTTGTAAAGCGTGAAAAACCCATAGATGTCGCTACATTTGACTAATGTGGAAAATTAAACAAAATGCTGAGGTTTCTAAAATAGTTGTAACTTGTAACATACAATATTTTATCTGTAACATACTCTATTTTACTTGAGTAAGGTACTTAGCATAATATATCGTATATGCCACTAATAAACATCAAATATTATATACAAATAATAATACTGGACTCAATAAGTCTAATAAAAATACGCGAACGGGCACACGACACAAACACACGCACTCGACAACGCACTCGCACATGCTCACGCACACACTTGAAAGTCGGGAGTTCAACATGGTTGTTTAAATCTAATACGAATATTATGACAAAACCGTATTGAAATAAGCGGCCATCTCAAAAATTATTTGAAGAATGTAAATAATTTGAAACAAGTTAAGCTGCTTATGTTTTGCATAAACATAAGTTTTTTTTTTACTTTATAAAAAAAAACAATTAAATCGTCTTAATATTAAATAAATTTATTTGTTATATATTTGTATTAAAATAGGGAATAGTTAGCTACCTCCAAAAAATATATTCCAAATTTCATTGTTCGATGGTTTACCCATAAATTTCTTTTCATTTTTTACCATCCAGGCACTAAAAATAGTTAAAATCAATCCATGTCCCAGATCGCCAAACATTATTGAAAATAAAAATGGAAAAGTTATAATTGAGTAAAGGCCTGTAAATTAGATGTTTTCTTATGATTATTTTTTATCACAGTTAATCAAGTAGTATCAGATTTTTATTTTATGAAACAAGTGTTGAATATTTCTGTTGCAATTATTGTTTCATTAAAAAATATCTTAGAATTTTTTTTAGATTTTTCTGCATTTAATAGAATGTAGGATTTTATAGAATATGCGGATATTCTATAAAATCTTACACAATAAGTACCCAGGCAATATGAGATTCATCACTGCACTTGGATTAAATTTTATACGATAAAAATAAAAATTATTGCAATATTGTAAATGACATATAGTGGAGGCCTAAGAGATTAATAATATTAAAATATATATTATTGATATATACAATAATACTGGAATTGCAAAATTTTATCGGTTGCTTTAGTAATAACTAGGTTGATCAATAAGTTTTCGGAATAGACAGTTATCAATGAGCTATAGAAATGCGTTGTATTTTTTTCGTATCATTAATTCGTTAGTAGCCAAGGACGGATAATTATTTTTCAAACTTTACATTTAGCGGTTATTTGATTCGTATGCAAAATGGAGAAACTCTAACTTCGTGCGGTTATTAAATATTTCGGTCTGAATTTTTTTGAAGCACTGCTGGGTTCCTTTAGTGTTAACAGACACCCAAAAGAAATTAAGAGTTGACATTTCAAAGCAAAACTTAGTAATAATTGAAGAAGACCCAAATTCTTTTTACGCTGGTTTCGTACCAGTAGATGAAACGTAAAACACCATCTTGACCCAGAGACGAAAAACCAAAGAATGGTGTGGAAAAGACCGTCTTCCCTGTCAGCCAAGAGATTCAAGGTGTTTGCGTCTTCTGGAAAAATAAGCCTGTGTTTTCTGGAATGCCGACGGTTCGACTATTTAAGTAAAGGAGAGCCCATAACCGGAGATTATTACGCATCATTAATCAAAAACTACGCGAAGAACTAAAGAATAAACGTCGAGGAATAAAATTGCGCGTGGGAGTGCTTTTTTATCATGGTAATGCCCCTGCCCATCGATCCGATGTTGCAGGCGCTGCCATCCGTACTGCTGGGTTTCAAGTGATGCAGCACCCACCTTATGATCCACACATGGTTCCGAAGGATTTCCAACGTATTACTCACCTGAAAAAGCACTTGCGTGGTATAAAGTTCCGTTGCCACTTCAGCTTACTGATCCTGTTGGTTGCTCTAGTTCTACTGCAGACATCATCGTTACACGCCAAAATAAAGTTCGACGGCCACGATGATGTGATGTGTGCTGTAGAGGTACAGTGGTAGAGCCACGCGGCGGCTTTTGCTGTCGCACGGATGGGCCGGTTCGAACCGGAGTGGTACCACGACCCCACAGAATACCGGCGTGAAGTAGAGGTTTACCTCTGCATTTCGCTTGGTGAGTGCAGGTGGCCGGAGGCCCTTTTTACTGGAAATGAGGCATTCCATCTTAGTCCTCACGGGTGACAACGCATCTGCATTTTAATTCGCAAACGAGGATAGATGTAGACATCTATGGGCCGCAGCAACCACTTACCATCAGGTGGACTGTGTGCTCGTTTGTCACCCTTATCTTATAAAAAAAAGAGGCCATTTTCGAGTCCCAGAATCATGCCTTTTTTTCAAGAAAATTAACCAACTTGTAAAACGCTATTTTAGGTGTATTAGCTTATAAAGCGTTTACGTTTAAAAATAAAATAAAATTAACATATACTTTGAATAAAAATTATTCTATTTTGTTCTAGAGTTTCATGTTTACAAAAACTTATTGATCAACTGGTATATTAAATCAACGAAGAAAAGTTATAATTTGTGAAAGCCTATTTTTATATTCCCATCCGTTCATTTCAGCCGGTGTAAGTCCACTGATGAATGTAATTCCATGAATTGTCTTATCAGAGGAGATTTGGCCATAATTGTCACACTTGGCATGCGGGTTGGCAACCACAGTTTTTATAATTTTATGTTGTTATCATCTTTCTAATATTCCTGCAGACCAACTCCTATTTCAATTTCCCTCTGTCGCCTCTTACAACACCTATATGGAGCAGTGGATTTTCTTACACCGTCATTACACTGTTAGTTTCTTAGCCGTATTTTTCATATACCTGGATTTAATTCCCTGTACGAAGAGTCACCATAAGCATTAATCAACGCTTGAAATCCACTAGTAAATTTATTGGTACGATGGTACGTCGGAGGCATGGCGGTAGTATCAGTTTTAGACATAAATGAGGGTATATTTGTACCAATTTTGGCCTAAAACATAACAATTAAAATTCTATGATGTTAATGCAATAGTTTTGTGAACCTCTAGTTTTAATGGGTAACATATTAGTTGTATTAGTTAAGAAAAAAATTAATGTAATGTTCCTCGAAGCTGATTTAGGGGGATAGCGACAATAATTTTAACTACCAACTACGCTGCAGCTAGCTGCTACTTGTGATTTACCAGAGATCAAAAGTATGCAGCATTAAAGCCGTGGAAATCAACGCCACAACCCAACCTTTATCATCATTACATTCCTACAGAAGCCCATTGCTTAGTATGGGCTATAAATAAAAATAAAAGACTGCATATTACACGAGTCGGTATTCAGAGTGGAGGCTACCATTGGAGAACCTTTCTACCCGTTAGTTGTTGGTTCCTTAAACTATATTATGTTCGGGCCGTTGCCACTTCAGCTTACTGATCCTGTTGGTTGCTCTAGTTCTACTGCAGACATCATCGTTACACGCTCTGACGCAGAGAAACTCTGAAGATAGCCCACTCAATAGCTTAAGCCTATAAATACGGGGATGCAGATATTGAAATTGCACCGTAGCCGCCAGACACTGACTAAGAAAAAACGAAAAAATATGAGAAATCGAACAGAGCTCTTGTACAAATGCGAAATATGTATTCTTTGTTTGTATACGTATTCTAGGCTAGCTAAAACGATTTTAAAATTTCTTGAAGTCACTGCTTATTATGACAACGAAGTTCACTTGTGAGCGGCATTTCCCATTGAAGGCTATACAAGTAAACTATAGTCGGAGTAATAGCTGTATTACCATCCTTTTCGGTGCATGGCTCTCTTATCTGAAAGCACTCAAACTAACTCCTTTTTCTTGAACATTACGATCTAATATCAAAGAAGGAATCGTTTAAAACATCAGACAATAATAATTAAGTTAAGATAATATACTTTTAGCCATTATTTTTTTTAAATTGTCTAGTTACCGAACATCGTTCCATCACATCATTGACTTTTATCAAATCCATATCAGGAACCCAACATTGACCTATAAGACAGTTCTTAGTTATGTCGAGTGTGAATAAATTCATTGTATGGTATATGGCTTTAGCCTTTTTGACTTGCATCATCCACGTACTCCATTGTTTGCCCACCGTTCTGAGTGCCTTACAGCGGTGATACTTTGTCTTTTTTATAACCTGCGTAATACAAAGAATTTAAAATACATTTTATTTTAGTAGTATAATATTTACATTTATACACAATTGAGCGTATTTTAAATTACATTTTTAACTTAAATTAATGATTTTATGTTTACTACAGCTATTCACAGCAACATGACCTGACCTATCAAAACTATAGAATTATTATATGATCAAAAAAATACAGACTGTGTTGACAGAAATCTATTTTTATATTTACTCATTATGCCAACTTCACTTTTAATTACGTACAAAGTAATTTATGAACTTTCAATTCAATTATACTTTGGCATAGATGACCCTCTTCCCCTATTTGTTGCCAATTAGTGATAGTCACTTCACCTGTTCAAACCACACACGCTCCGGGCTTGATTAATGAAAGTTGTGTACTTTTGCTTGCCAAATGTATGTTAAACTAGCAACCTATACTGGCTTCGCCTTAGTAGGATCTAATAATGTGTCGTTATTTAGTTTACTTGTAAGATAAAGACTATTTACTTTATCAATTTTTCGTTTTATCATAAATAAATCGCCAAATATTTCATATAAAGTATGCTCAGATTTTTTGAGGACTAAGATGGAATGCCTCATTTCAAGTAAAAAGGGTCTCCGGTTCTCTACACTCACCATTAGAAACATAGCAGCGTTAAGCTGCAATTTTACGCTGATATTCTGTGAGAGCGTGGTCCTTCCCCGGTCGAGCCGACCCATTCGTGCTACAACTATACTACTACTATAGCTGCAGCATGGCTCTACCACGTACGCTCGTAATGCTCTCTATCTATTCGTGAAGTTTCAGAAGACATTATATATAAAAAAAATGGTTATATTATTGATTATAATAATGTCTTGTTGACCCCAATGCTCAATATTAGGCAATTATTTTGATATTACAGAAAGATGCTTCAGTTTTACTTTTATGTATGTAATATATTTTGTTTGTTACGTAAGCATAACTTTCCAAATAAATTCAAATTAAAAAAATATTTCCTCATTTCAATATTAAAATTAACAAAGTTAAATTTAGAAAAGCAGTTATATTACAATTACTTTTTTAGAAACTTATAAAACAAAGACTTGTTTTCAGGTAAAGCATAATTAAAGATGACAGACATGATTTTTGACTACTTAACCTCTAAAGTAAAGCTAAAATTTCGAACCATATTTAGTGTCCTTAGTGTTGATATGTTACGGTGCCTACACATTATATAACATAACATGTTATAAACCATTGTTATAAAATATATTTAAGTAACGTGGAGGCTGAATGTTATAAAACATGTTATATAACTCGAACGGCAAAATGACAAACAACCATGTGATACGACAATGTCATATAACATTGTTATACTGCATTGTTATTCTAATGTGTACAGTATTGTTATATGTTGCAATGTTGAAAAACATGGTTACATAATGTGGACGTGTTATAAAACAAAAGTTATATAACATGTTACTTGGTCTGTACGCACCCTAATATGCAACGTTCGAATATTCTTTTAAAATATTATATAAGGTCGGCGAAAAGTTTCTTCGTATTTATATACAAATCCAAGACATTTTTATTTTCAAAGTTTAATTACATTTAATTATAATACATATATATGTGCCATTTTGTTCGATAAGTTGTTGCCATCTTGTAGGTAGTGGCATAATGCCGTTGCTGTAGAAATCTTGGGATTTTTGACCAAAAAAATGCAACAAGTAATTTTGACAGTCCTCTCTTGATGTTAACCTAATACTACCCAAAGAATACTGAAGAGACCGAAAAAGGTGAAAATCTGAGGGTGTAAAGGTCAGAACTATATAATGGGTGCATTAAGAATTCCCAACCAAGCTCTCTCAATTTTTGCTGAGTGGCCAAATATATGTGTGGTCCGGCATTATCATGATGAAAGACCACTCCTCCTCTGTTGATGAATTCTGGCCGTTTTTTCTCAATTTCTTGCTTGAGTCTCATTAGTTATTAGATTTTGCCCGGTGGTAAAAGCTTATATCCATTGAGTTATATGTACTACGTACTAGAGAAGCTATTCCAAACAAAAATTATGCACTGCTCTATGTCTTCGAAACTGCGCGGGAGATAGTAGAGTCGCGCATGCGCGAAGACTTTAATTTAATATAAAATAAGATATTAATATCAAATAAATATAAGAATTTAATATAAAATACTCTTATTTTAATCTAAATAAACACATTTCTAAATAAAATATAATAATAGGTAATTATCTTATGGAATTCACAAATCTTCAATTTACGCAATATTTAGTTTAGAGTACGGATGCAGTACAGTTCATTTGAACATAGTCAATGTTCGCAATGCGAAATCTAGTGCATAGTACTTATATATCGATGCTCATGTCAAACGATGCCTTTCCAATCCCACCATACACACACCATCAACTTATTGCGTGTTAATCCGGGGTTCGTCTGTGGAGTTTGACTATCCTTTGAATGGTCAAAGAGACCATAAGATCTTTTTCGAACTTTCTTATTGTAGGTGATCTACTTTTCATTACCAGCGATCAATATTTTCAAAAATGGTTCGGTTTCATTACGTTTCAATCATTGAGTTATATGTACTACGTACTAGAGAAGCCATTCCAAACAAAAATTGCGTCCTACTCTATGTCTTCGCGCATGCGCGGGAGTAGTAGTCGCGCATGCGCGAAGACTTTAATTTAATATAAAATAAGATATTAATATAAAGTAAATATAAGAATTTAATATAAAATATCTTAATTTAATCTAAACAAACATATTTCTAAATAAAATGTAATAATAATTATCTTATGGAATTCAAAAAATCTTCAATTTACGCAATATTTAGTTTGTATAGATTGCACTACAGTTCAGTTGAACATAGTCAATGTTCGGAATGGCTTCTCTAGTACGTAGTACATATAACTCAATGGTTTCAATAGAGAATCGCAAATGAGTACACTATTCATTAGGTTTCTTTCAGTGAGCTCGTGTGGTACCCAAATATCGAGAATTTTTTCTAGCCACAATTTTTCAAACGGGTCAAAACTGTCTTGTTGTCAATCCTCAATTCCCGGCTATGTCACTTTTTCAAAAATGGCATCGACTTTATCCATATGGGGACGACCAGAGTGAGCTGCATCTTTGACATCAAAATTCCCGGACTGAAAATGCTTGAACCAACTGTATGCTACTATTACTGACACTGTATTACGTCCATAAAGTAACAAATTTTTCACAGCTTGAGTCGCATTTTTCTTTTTTTTTATATAATAAAACTTCAGAATGTATCGAATTTCTTAGTTAGATTCACTCATTTTAGCGGAGAGAAAAACAATCGAAAAATGGCGGGAAAGTGTTTTACTTTTTCTTTTTCTTAATCTCTTATATGTATTGATATTAAAACCAGCCAGATACAAATCAAAGAGATTTTTCTTTAATTTTATACAAACTAAATACGAAGAAACTTTTCCCCCGGCCTATTATGTGAAATGCGTACTGTTACTTGATATTTGTGTGACAAATAAAAAATAAAATATTATTAGTTATGGAATTGGTTTTTAGGTGAATTTACGATTAAGGGATTGTAAATATCTTTGTCTATAACACTTAATTAATGTTGATAAAATAAAAAAGACATACTTGTTCTAAATCACTAATCCTGGAGTAAAGTGTATTTATCATCTCCTGTCTTTCAGCTTTTGTTTCCGGACAAGGATAAACGTTGACTCGGAATCCGGTGCACACCTTTTTCATTCGTGTACTAAGTTGCTCTCCTTGGCAAATTGCTAAAAATGCCACTTTTCGTATATCCTTGCCCTGGATAAGATGGTTTATCAGTGTTACCAGTAAAAATACTATTATACATGCTTCATAATAATAATAGTTTTTAAAGCATAAATTATTGTAGATTTTGCAACATTAAATTAAAATTGAAATTAAATTATATTTTTTTTACCAGTAAGGTTAAATCAGATCATTTAAAAAGATATTATCTCTTACACGAAACATTTAACTTTAATTATCCAGTCCACTATTGGACATAGAACATACTCATTGTCAGTTGGGCTAAATGCAATTTTTTTAAATACTAGTAATGCTATTAGACATTACTAATATTCCCTTAACCACTTCTTCTTAAGCTTAAAATGCTTGTGTTAGAAGTAGTTCACGACAGTAGTCGAATGGCGGATTCGAACCCACGATCTTTCGAGTTCGCGGTCCACGCCCTGCCACGATTTTGTAGGTCTTTTCAGGAGCTATAAGACTATATGAATTAAATTACTTTAGATCCCTTAATTTTTAAATGGAGAGAGTTTAAAGCGCTTGAATAGGCGCTTGATGTTCGATCGTAAATGTAGGTGTCAAACGGCTATATCTCGCCGAAGATTCACTATATAAAAAATCTGCACACAGCAATTTAGTATTTTATAGTTTTTTTCGTACCTTTAGTATTTTGGGAGATATTTTTAAGAAAAGGGTTAAAACACGAAATTGAAAAAAATCGTTTTGTCTTTAAACTCCAATTTTTCTAAAATTAGGCATTTTAAATTGGTCAAACTTCGTGGGTGTATTAATAGTACATATATAAAAAGAATCACAGAAAGGTGGCGATCAATTTTAATTAGCGGGTACTTTCGGGGTTGTTTTCACAATTTTTTTTCATAGAAAAAAGTGGGTACCGATCTTATTATGATCATAAGTCGGTCAATTTTCATGCTAGAGACATTATTTTTTTTGTTTGAAAGCTCAAATTAAATACTTTAAAAAATATTCTATGAGCTTTCTTCGAATAATGCAAATTTTTCTCAAGCTAAGCATTAATTTGCTGTACCTCAGTCCGTATTTGTCGTAGAAAAATTATAAAAAAAGCAATGTTTTTTTTTAAAAGCTACAATTTGGCTCTCTACACTTTTTTTTAATAAAATGCATATTTTTAGTTATTCGCAAGAAACCATTCGTCGATTTTTTCGTCAAAAACTGTTACTTTCAACTTTGAATAACTCAAAAAATATTAGTTTTACGAAAAAAACGTATATAAATTTTTTTTAGAATTACTTTTTCCGTCGATTCTTATAGTTAAAATGTAATAAAAAAATTCCACTCCCGAGATGGGGTGGCAACCACCCCGAAGGCTCTAGCGTACAGCGGCATGATATAGACAATGATCCTTGAGCTATTCCCTACCTTCTGTGAAAATTTCAAGTAAATCCATGGTGGACGAAAAAATTGCGAGCCAAAATGCTTCATTTCCTGGACTATTTATTTCAATCACGAAAAGATTAAGAAATACAATGAATAAAATGGTGCAGAACAGTTATAGCCTATATTCAACCCACTATTGGGTAAAGTCTCATTTCTGAGTTCTCATTTCAAAGTTTAGGAGGGCAAGGAAGTGTCCGCCGCGCAACCCCAATATAATATTATGTTGGCGAACATTATTTGTCTTCGATTTGTTTTCAATTTCTCTGAAACCTGTTTTTCCTTCATTCGAATACGTGGTAAATTAGCACTTAAAATAGTGACTAAAAATTTTATTGGTGCCCATGGGGATCAAACCTGGATTGCTTGAATACTGCAAAATTTACGGTTAGTGATTTAGCCCCTAAGCTACCACGGCTCACACAGTAGAACATGTATATTGAGTTACTTGATGTTTCAAAAATCCAACAAAGCAAAATTTATAAAAATTTTAACTTACAGTATACGGATCTTGTAAAATAGCATCCTGTTTAGCTTGCCTATAATAAATGTTACCCCGAGATACTCTCCAAAGCATAATCTCGAAGGGAGAGCTTCGGTTACGTTGCACTACACCAGACATGACAACAAGACGCCCACCAATCCTTGCAGTTTCACCAGCTCCTTTTCTGTGCATTTTTATTAATACCACAAATTTATTTAAAAAACTTCAAAGTAAAGTGTTTTGTACTTTGTTGTTTTAAATAAATACTACTTTACAAAATCAAAACGTGAAGTAATGTTATAAGTATATTATTAGTCAACAAACAATCAATGTATTAGAGTACCTCGACAGAAGCAGATCCGGTGCAATTTCAGCGTCGCCGAGTAAAGGACCTATTTGAATTAATACGTATAACATTTCTCGCAATTCCAAATAGTTGTTCAATAAACCCGTTTGATTTTCAGACATGCCTACGATGTCATCTTCCCATTTCTCCAAGGCATTCTAAAAAAATTAAATTTAAGAAACCAAATTATTACTAAGAGATGGAATGACAAAAGAAAGTGTACGCTGCCTTTCTACCAGAGATTTGCGAGGTAGCTAGGCCGCGCGAGAATGCGTAGTGAGACTATGGAACGGTGTGAGCGTTTCCACCAGAAATGTGCTAGGCCACTGAAACGGTGCGCAGATACGCGGTGCGAAGATGTGTAGCGGGCTAAAATTATAATTATATCTACGGCGGTTGTGAAGAAAAAAGTAAAACTTTCAAAGTTCAATTTTACAAAGGGATACTACTGTAAACAGGAATAATTAATAGAATCAGGCGTTACTTTGCGGACGTGCATTATATTAAAGTTAAAAAATTACTGCAGGGGCTATCTATCGATATTTCTCGATATTTATCGAGCGGATGTACGCGAAATAATTTTTACCTACTTTAGTAAACAGGAATGTTTTAAATCATCTCTCTATTCAATCCAGGCTGGTCCAGCAATGTGGACTGGTTGCGTTTCCATAGTGCTCCGTAATAAATAAGCATAAAAAAATAGTAAACAATAATATGAATCGTTAAAAGTGTGTGAAATTGAACCTATTAAACATTATTAACAAGTGACAGTGTTGGTGACATAAATCCTTAAGTATAATGTACGAATAGATTGAAAAACAGTTACACCAATACTTTCTATATCCAAGTGAAGATTTCTTTTATAAAACAAACCGACAGCCTAAGAACAGTGCAAAAACATTTTTATGAACTTAACAGCGTTAATACGGCCCATCCAGTGTAGTAAATAATGCTTATTTTTTAAAATTAAAGTAACGGATCTACGACTACATGCAAAATTATTTATTTGGACTTTGGACCCTTATCAGCTGTGAGAAGTAAACAATCATAATCACAATTCTATGACCAATGACATCTAGTGACGCATGGCTGAACATGAGTGGACCAGGAAGTAAGCATGCAACATATTGATTAAAATTGGTGTCTATTGAACCTCTAACTTAGCGAGATTATCCCCTATTATTAGGCTAGAGGGCGATATCTAATAAAATTTTAATTAATTATAAATTTATTTTTTCACTATAATGGATGACAAATACAACATTACACATAGGATCAAGCTTAAAATTAGAACTGAAACTACTGTATCAAGTGACGAATCGTTCCTTGATAATAATTATCAAAGTCTGCCTAATATTGGATATAAAGACAGCTTAGAACTATCCGACCTGAAAAGTACAATAGAAAGATTAAATACGGAATTAAACATTGCTAACGCCAAAGTTGAAAATTTAAATTTTGAGAACGGAAAACTGAAAAAAAAATATAAGACTATGAAAAGAAAATAAAGTTATTTAAATCTGTCGGAATACAAGACCTAAGAAGATCCACAACATGCACACCTTTAAAATTTTATTCTCCGCAATACAAGAAACACAAATCAGATAACAGTCTAACAGACACCCCTATCCGACCTCTAAACGGGACCATAAAATTTAATAACTTCGACTACAGTTCTCTCGAATCCCCTGTGACAATGAAAGAGCATTCAGACGAATTAACATTCATCATGGACTGTAACAGTACACCTACCAAAGAATGTAGAAATTGCTGCACACCAGTGATAGATGGTGTTAGTGATCTTCTCTGCGATGATAAAGAAAAACCCTACTGCGATATATCGAGACGAAAGAATCAAGTAGTAATTATTGCAGACCAATCTGGCCAGGGCTTAAGAAATAAATTGCAAGGACTTTTAGGAAATGAGTATTTCGTCACATCGTATTTAAAACCAAACGCGCATATTGACCAAATATTATGCTCTTGTGATCACCTATGTAAAGTTTTAACCGATTCAGACTATTTGGTTATTTTAGCCGGCTCTAATGACAGCAATTTATTAAAGTTACAATCGTTTTTATATTACCAATTACATAAATTGAAGCACACAAAAGATTGGTGAAATAAAAAAAACAATTACTTTAATGAATCTAAGTTGAATTATCTTGTTAAGTCAATTTGTAATCATTTTAAAAACACTTCATATGTACCATTTAACTTATTTTATAATGATAATAGTTATAGGCAAGTAGGAAATCTGACCAAAATTTCTAGACTTCTGTTAAGAGAAATATTAAGAATTTCTTATAAACATAATTATATTAAATTCGTGACTAAATTACCCAGCATAACTAAGTCGAAAGCATATAAGGTTCATGCTGCTACTAATCATGACGAGACTGGCATAGATGCCCAGCAGAAGCACCAAAAATGCTCTGTCAGTGCACAAACGGATGATGATCTGTGTAAGATAACTGCTGGTGATCCCTTTTTTCGTGAATAATAGTATAAATATAGAATTGCGAAATAATAACGTAGAAAAAACTGCACTTAATATATTTTATCAAAATTTGTGTGGTATAAATAACAAGAAACTAGAGTTAGAACTTTATATAAATTCCCTTACAGATAGGTATCACTATCAGTGAGCATTTTCTGAATGAAAAATTAGTAGCTTTAACTGATTACAAAGTAGTATCACATAATACAAGAGTCAACAAAAAAAGGGGTGGAAGACTCATACTATGTAGCAAAGATATAAGATAAGATATAATAGGTCTGCCTATAGCGAAATCTGTATATAAAATGACAGCTTTGAAGTATGTTGTGTAAAAGATTTGGAAACTGATATTTGTATTTGCTGTTGTTATCGCACACCAATGATAAAAACTTTGATACCTTTATTGATAGATTAGAAAAATTGTGCGAATATATTTTCAACAAAAATGTATTATATGTGGTGACTTTAACATAGATTTTTTAACAGAAAATAAGAAGAAGTGTGAATTTGTGAATCTTTTAACCAGTTTCAATTTTAGACCACTAATTTCTGATGCTACTTTTATTAGAAATAATTCAAGCTCGTGCATCGACAATATTGTTACCAACATACCTAACGAAAATATAATCAATTGTAACATAGATCATAATGGATTATCAGATGGACACGCGGCAATATTATGCAATATTGTGGTCCCCTACATTAAAAGTAGAAGTAAAAATAATGTAGTTTATGTGAAGAAAAGTTTTATTACCAAAAATAATAAATCAGTCTTTAGACAGAATTTGACTAATTGTGATTAGAACTCAATTGGTATAAATACCTTTCTAAGTAAATTTAAGGCCTTATTTGATGACTGTTTTAAAAATAAAAATCAAATTATAAACACAAAAATCAAATTTACGATGGATTACCAAAGGTATAAAAGTATCAAGACAAATGAAACGGTTTCTTTGCAAAAGTAAAGGATCTCATATTGACGAATCAATTGCCAGGTACCGTAACAAATACATTACATTATTATATAGGAAAATCATTAGACTAACAACACAAGACGCAGTTCAAAATGAGATCGCTCGTTCCAAAAATTTATCCAATAGTGTATGGAAACTCATTATCAGGCATAGGAACCTAGTGAGGAAAATGCAAACCCAACTAATGCTAAAGTTGTAAAAATATTGTTCATGAACCAGCTACAATTGCAGATATCTTTGTTCAACAGTTTGATCATAGTATCAATAATGAGCCAACAGATATTGAGATGGCACTAACATACCTTAAGCGTAATACAAATCGAGTCGAAAACGATATAACACTAAGACCAACATCTGTAGAAGAGGTGCGAAAGATCACACAAAATATGGAGGCCAAGAAATCCTACGGTTTTGACAGTATTTCTATTACTATAATAAAAGGAAATATAGATCTTCTCGCCGAACCATTGTGTTGTTTCTTTAATAAGTGCATAAAGGAGGGCATTTTCCCTGATCAACTGAAAATTGCCAAAGTCGTACCTGTTCACAAGAAAAGCCGATGCCAAGATGTATAGGCCTATATCTTTACTACCCACAATATTAAAAATGTTCGAACGTATAATTAAATCTAGGTTGGTGGCTCATCTTGTCTTAAACAAGGCTATTGATAGAGGGCAATTTGATTATCAAAGCAAGATCGGTTCACAGGACGCAATAGACGCACTGCTCAATGATGTCATTGACAAATTGCATAATAAATTTAAGGTAGCTACACTCTTTCTTCATTTGAGCTCTGCGTTCGATACCATCAATCATGATCTTCTTTTGGCAAAATTGCAATATTATGGGGTTTGAGGACAAGCCTTTCTCAATCTTACTTGCAAAACAGAAAAATGTTCGTAGAAATAAAAACAGTGAACGATAGCATGTCTAAAATGGTGACGAAGTCAAAAATGATTAACGTAAAAGTGGGTGTACCTCAAGGCTCCATTTTAGGTCCCGTAATATTTTTATACTTTTATTAATGATTTAAACAACTATGTACGTAAAATGACAGACTCAACAAAGCTAGTCCTCTTTGCAGATGACACTAATGCTGTTATCTTAGCCTCTGAAATAGTGACTATCGAAATTAAAATAAACCAAATATTGGAAATCATTAGAATATGGTTTACTATCAACGGCCTGTCGATCAACACTAACAAAACAAATGTTATGTTATTCCGCAATAACGTCAGAAAAAACACAACCCTGAATGTTACACTAGGTGATAAAACAGTACAGTCTGTAGAAGTGGCCAAATTTTTAGGAGTGAGGATAGACAGTGATCTGAAATGGAAACATGAATTAGACGAGATTAAGGGTAAAATAAGCTCAGCTAGTACGTAACAAACTAAGAAGCTTACGGGATGAAGCTGATCTTGAACATTTAAAATTGGTTTATTACGCATTGGTGGAGTCAAGATTACGTTATAGTATTTTATTTTGGGGAGTGAGCTTTAAATATAATGTACACAAAGCCTTTGTGCTGCAAAAAAGAGCAATTAGAACCATGGTCCGGATAAAAGAACAAGAATTGTGTCGCGTACACTTCAAAAGACTTGGGATCTTGACTGTTCCATGTCTGTATATACTGGTCTTACTCACGCAATTTGCAAAATTTATTGGCGAATATGAGACGATA